TCAGCCATTCTCACAACATGCCCAAGCCAACGTAGACGTTGCTGTTTCAGTAATGTATATATGCTAAAAATTCCAGCTCGTTCTAGGACTACTGTTTGGAACTCTGTCCTGCTAGGTGATACCAAAAATGTGTCGGAACAATGCATATGGAACGTGTTCAGCTTCCTCTCCTGCCGTGCACAAAGGGTCCAGGACTCACTGCAGTACAGAAGTGTACTCAGGACACAGGCTCTATAGACCTGGATCTTGGTATATGCTGTCAGCTTCTTATTAAGCCATACAGTACTCTCTTTGTGAGTCTAGGGAACATGGTAGCTGCCAATGTGTTTATCCAGCTCAACATCTAGAGAGAGAGTGTGTCAGAGATTGTTGAGCCAAGGTACACGAAATCATGAACAACTTCCAGTTCTTGTGTAGAAAGAGTAATAGAGAGAGGTGAGTCCACGCCCTGGCCCATGACTTGTGTTTTCTTCAGGCTAATTGTTAAACCAAAATATTGACAGGTCTTACTAAAACGATGTATAAGTTGTTGGAGGTCTGTGGCAGAATGAGCAACAACAGCTGCATCATCTGTGAAGAGGAAGTCCCGCATGCATTTCAGCTAGACTTTGGCCTTCGCCCTCAATCTAGAGAGATGAAAGAGCTTTCCATCTGATCCAGTCCGGAGATAGACACCTTCTGTTGCAGTTCCAAATGTGTGTTTCAGCATGATAGCAAAAAAGATCCCAAAAAGGGTTGGTGTGAGGACACAGCCCTATTTCACTCTGCTTTGGATGTCAAAGGGATCTGATGTTAAGCCATCAAAAACTACAGTGCCCTTCATTTCCTCATGAAAGGATCTGATGATGTTAAGGAGCGGAGGTGGACATCCAGTCTTGGGAAGCATTTTAAAAAGGCTATTCCTAATAATCAAATGAAAGGTCTTTGTAAGATCTATGAAGGCCACAAAGAGTGGCTGTCCTTGCTCCCTACATTTCTCCTGCAACTGCCTGAGGGAAAACTCACTTGTGAGTCTTCATGGAATGCCTAAGACATGATGTAAAATAAGCATGCAAAGGATTAGGCTGTAGAAGTATAACACATGATAGGGGAGGTGAGCTGTTTCTTTCTATGGGGTGCACTGCTGTTAAAGCACATGGAAAAACACTCCAGCCCACAACAAAAAAACACCGTCTGACGAGTATGCATTCAGTATGAACAGTTCTAAAAATCTGGGGGCTACGTGTGGCAGCTGTCAGGCTAGTTTCCCTGTTTTGTCTGTGTTATATGGCAAACCAAACCGATTACTACCATCAAACAATTACAATAACATTAAGGATTCTTTTTGTTATCTGAAAAGAAGCAAAGCTGAAACACCCCATAAAGCGGAACGCTACCGCCAGCAGGAAGCCTAAAGATGATCCCGCCCGTCTAGATAAGGCAGCCTCGCCCAAGAGGGGATCCCAGACTCAGGGAAGAGAT